CTCCCCAATGACACGCTGGCCCCCATCACCACCGGACGCGTCACTACTATTTTAAAGATTACCATTCTCGTCCTCCTCCTCGTCGTCCTCCTCCTCCTCCTCGTCATCCTCCTCCTCGTCCTCCACGTCCTCCCCATCCTCGTCGTCATCGTCCTCCTCCTCCTCTAGCTCCTCCTCCTCCTCTCGGTCGCCTTCCTCATCCTCCTCGTCCTCCTCCCTGCGCTCGTCCTCGTCCTCCGAGTACTCCTCCTCGTCCTCCTCCTTGTCATCCACGTCCTCCGAGCCCTCGCTCTCATAACACTCGTCCACCGAGGAGCTGTCGGCTTTCACGGCGAATGGTTTCCGCTTGGGAGCAGGCTCTTGGGGCTGCTTATCCTGCGTTTTTCTTTTTTTAGCCAAGGGGCAGCCATACACGCTGTGTAGAGACAGAGAGAGAAGACCTGTGTCACTATCTTTGGAGGTTAGAGCATGGGCGCCCTGCGAGAGAGCTAGGGCTTAGTGTGAGTGTCACCCACACAGGCGCGGGCAAGGTCTTGCACACGCTCCTGCATGTGCACAGCCTCGGTGCCAATGCTGCGACGGCGACAGAGCTCCAGGCACTTAGTCACCACACACACATGCCACCTCCCAGCCCCTTGTCCCGGCCATCATGTAGGGACACACACCCCATGGCGCTCAGGAGGGCGGTTTGTGACACCCCTCACAATCGACAGTCGACCACACAAATTCTCTTTCTTAAACATCTTGCCAGATACACATTACGTATGATGCGTTTCACGAGAAGAATTAGTTCATGCACAGTATATTCACATATCCCCTCTTCTGTGAAATATGACAATATATGTGTTGTGAGAAAGCTTTGGATGTGTTTGTATCTGTAGATGCTGCCGACAAAATGGTATCTGTAAACTAACGAGCTACTCATAGAAGATGAGCCACAAATGCCTGCTGGTGAGAACAGCCGCACAGTTTAAATTGATGAAGAACATTGTCAGTCCCAACGTTATGGAAAAAAGTCAGTGTTGTAGGCAGCCATCCCTAAACCCTGCTGAAATCAGTCCAAACTTGGGCAAGACCCCCGGACCAGGACCTGTGTTCCATAGAGGGCAACTTTCCAAAGTGACTTTGTATTACGGTTCTTGTCTTCCTGGAAACCGCACGATACACCACAGGAATAAGGGGGAGAGACACAGAGCACGGATGCTGTGGGCACCTATTCCGTTTGTCGAAAATAAGACGTGTGGTCTCTGGTGCTGACTGAATGCTTTGGGAGCACTATGATAGGCTTACGTTTAGACCTGAGATGAGAAGTATCCAGTCTCACATGGACCATCCAGTACATGCTTATTTGGGGAGGAACCTTGGGGCTGGGTGCTGGGCCCTGGCGGATTCAGAGGGGAGAGGCATAGATATGGACTGGTGAGGAAGACTGTGTTGGAGCCACTCAGCACAGGTGACATGTGTGCCAAACACGTGGCATGTCACGGGCACACAGTAAAGGGCTGTTGAATGGATAGGTGATGTGTGATAAATGCTATGATAAATGCATGTTGAGGGCGTCCCGTCGAGAGGGTCAGGGGGTCAAGGGAGCTCAGCCATACTGCAGACAAATGAGGCTGGGGCTGGGCTTGAAGAGGTTGCATGAAGCTATGGAAACATATTTCAGGCAAAACAGAGACTTTGTGGGGCACTTGGGGGGCTCAGTCAGTTGGGCGTCTGACTTCGGCTTAGGTCATGATCTCACCGTCCGTGGGTTTGAGCCCCGCGTCGGGCTCTGTGCTGACAGCTCAGAGCCCGGATCCTGCTTCACATTCTGTGTCTCCCTCTCTCTCCACCCCTCTCCCACTCATTCTATGTCTGTCTGTCTCTCTCTCAAAAATAAACAAACATTAAAAAAACCCAGAGACTTCGCAAAGACGTGAACACAACGAAGAGCATGATCCGTGCAGAAAATGGAAACAAAAACCAAACACAGAGTTCAGAGTGTGCAATGGTGGGGCCAGTAGGATTGTGTCTGGCAAGGTTTAGGAAGGGGCAGACCGGCCTGGGGACCCGTCCAGGAGGGGCCTGGAAGGAAGGGGAAGGCGAGGCAGTCACTGTGCTGACCTGATGTCCGATGAGGGTCCCCAGAGCCTCTGCTGGACACACAAGTCCCTGATAGGCACTGTCCCTCCCCGCAGCGAGACTTAGGTCCATGGTTGAGGGGTGGGACGGGCAGACAGGATGCACTGTGTCTGGAAGATTATGTGTGTGAATGGCTTGTGGGAGGTGTCACAGAGCGAGGGGCTGGGGAGACATTTGACGTTGTACTCCAGGGTCCCCAGCTGTAAGTGCACATCTCACACACTTGCTTTGGGGCTGGAAGGGTCACTTCTGTAGAGAGGTCAGTGCTGGGCACACACGCAGTACTCATAGTTGGCGCCTGCTGTTGATTATCATGGTGATTTTTATTCTTACTCAGGAATTGGGTGCTCAGCAGGCATGTCCCTCTATGTTTTGGACACTTACTGTTGTGCTGTTTGTCACTACCGTCAACAGTCCCCAGACCATCTGGACGAACGGCATGAGCGAAGGGGTGGCCCTGACACTGTTTCCTGGAGAATTACTTCTTCTGGTTGCTTGGGTGCATCTCATACTCTAGTAAAGACAACGCCATTCATCGGGGGCCCTGGAGGTCGCTGGCATGCACTGGCTCCCAGAACGGAAGGACTTCATTCCTATCCAAGTGTGTGACTGCGGTCAGTCCCCTTTCCAGCGTGGATGTCCCTTTCTTTCTTCATCTGTAAAGCGAGGGCCACTGGGTGATTGCCAAGGCTCCACCAACCCCAGAATCCCAGCACGATTGGTCATCTGCCTTTTGAAACTAAGCATCTCTTAGAACATAATAATCAAAGCAAGAATAATACTTATAACCCGAAAAAACCTGAAGGGAACATATATTGGTCTCTGTAGCATTTCTAAGATGAAACAGAGTTCTGAGCTTTCTTTCGTGCGACTCTTTCCACGGACCGGGAGACCGGGTCAGTGGCCTCAGACACACAGGCCCAGCCGCCCCCACCTTGCTGTCCACCCCCTCGTGCCCAACGGCCACCTGACAGTGCGTCCAGCCCGAGCTCCACATGAGCCAGGCTTCTCGGAGATGGCGATCGGGGGACTCACTCATGGGTCCGGTCTGTTTGTCCAGATAAAGGATCAGCGGTAGGTGCTCGTGCCAGGTTGGCCCACGATGTTCCGGAGCGTAACGACTGTTGTCACCTGCCCATGAGGGAGCTCTGTTCTGCACCAGTGCTACCCGCACAGGGCACCAGGCCTCTCTCTGACCGTCTCTGACCATCTCAGGTTCATCCAAATTGCTAGGAAGTGACGTAAAACCGGCCGTCTGTGCTGTTCAGCGATGCCACCCACAATGTTCCGCTCCAGCTGGCGGTGGGGACTCCTTCAGGTGGGGTGAGCCAGCACTGCGGCCGGGCTTCGTGCCCTGTCCCCCTCCCGTCCACACACACCTACCTGCCTCAGATCTCCTGGGGGCCTGCCTGCTGCTCAGACCTTAAATGGTAGGGCAGCAACGTTCAGAGTGGGCAAGTGGATGTTATCCTTAAAACGGATGCTGCAGTTAGAAGCGGACACAACTGGCCTTGGCTCTGCCCAG